GTGTTCATAGCTGAGAAATTAAAAGACAATGCATGGGCTTCTGTCAAATGATGTCACACACCCTCATTCCCTTTAAACTACGTAGAAAATTAAAAAGTAAATAACGAGACAAAGCCACAATGAACAAAAACACGTAGTAAAAACTGTAGTAATAATTAAAATTCTCAAAAGTAAGCCCCAGAAAATCGCTTTCTAAAAGAAAGTCAGATAATGCTAGCTGGAGTGGTTGCTACAAGGCTCAGTTCCCGCAACCACCCTATTGTCTCCAGTCTTGTACGAGGGACAACTAATACATTTTAAGCCTACAGGATCTTTAGTAAGAAGCTGAGATAAATAGTCTCGAACTTCTCCATTTAGTGCTCTGTATGCAACTGAGACTTTTAAAACGAGTTTCGAAGTCAACTGGGTGCCAATGGAGAAACTATAAAAGTGGTAATGTGAGAGTAATGTCAGCTTGCTTACTTGGATGTGTTAAGAGGTCTGGCTGCAGTATCTTCTATTGTTTGGAGGTGTGACAGAGTTGATTTATATAAGATGGTAAGCAGGGCATTACAGTATAGGTATGATGAATCAAATGGATGAAAAAATTTCTCCTGTTTAGCTGTAGAGATGATTTCGAAATGTTACTTTAAATGAAAGAAACAAGACCATAAAATAGATTAGACATGCAAATGAAAGTCCAGAGAATAATCAAATATAACATCTAGATTATGAACACGGAGCTTAGCAGATGAGCAAAAGGAAGTAAGCACTTCACTGATACAGATTTTTGATGTGTTTATGTTTATGCATTTTCCTACATTACTCCCTTAAGAAGGCTACTACTTTTCTCCAGGTTTTGAGAGTTGTTAGCTCTCAGATATCAGAGTGCATTGCCAGAACAATAAATGGGGCACTCTAAATATAATTTTGCTTTTCTTTGTCATCCTGATTCTTAAATCAGAAGCAATCTATAGTTTCATACTGTCAAGACATGTTAGGACAATACTACCATTAAACTGATCTTTCCAATTGTATATGTAGTCTGATATTACTCATTTGTCTTAGCCATTTAAAGGTGCTGTTCGGTGTTACTGTCACCACCTTTAGAAAAAAATAAAGAAACAATGAACATTCAATAATTAAAATGTAACAGTTCATTGTCTAATCCACTGATATCCATGTGTGACTTTGTTGTATTTTGTATTGTTCTAGGAAGAGATGTCAGGAGAGAGCGTGGTGAGCTCGCCAGTGCCGGCAGCTACAACCCGGACTACGTCCTTCAAAAGCTCCAGCCCCAGCTCAAAATATGTGAAGTTGAATGTGGGTGGCGCACTGTACTACACTACAATGCAGACACTAACTAAACAGGACACAATGCTCAAAGCAATGTTCAGCGGGAGAATGGAGGTCCTCACAGATAGTGAAGGTGAGCTGTTAGTAAAACCTTGATCATATGCAGCAATTATTCCATCATTGCAGTTAAACTGTTACTGATGTTTTGGCATTTGATACCCATAGGTTGGATCCTGATTGATCGGTGTGGGAAACATTTTGGAACAATCCTTAACTACCTTAGAGATGGCGCAGTCCCACTCCCAGACAGTCGACGGGAAACCGAGGAGCTCCTCGCTGAGGCCAAGTATTATCTTGTCCAAGGCCTTGCCGATGAATGCACAGCTGCCTTGCAGGTACAATCATTACAAAGTTGCTTACCTTTGGAGTAAATGTTAAGTAACTAAGTTTCAGCAAAGTTACTGATACATTTAAAATTACAAAATGTACATTTTGGAATCTACATTCTCTTTTTGTTAAACATGCTATGTTCCCACCATAATCTTCATTAACTCCCTTTTCCCATGAATGTTCTGTTGTCTTTTTTTGCTTTTTAATGCAGTCATAAATGTGACTAGCATTAGTCTGTGTATTTTAAAGAATGAAATTAAGTGTTATAAACAAAAACCCAATTAACCAAACAAAAATTACAAGTCAAAATCTGTTTTTGGTTTTATCTGGAAACAGCAGACGAAATATTTATTAAAATGCTTTTTGACAATAGCTTTTTAACAGGTGTCCACAGGCATCACTAATGATATTATTAAAGGTGCAGAGGCTCATTTCGTAGGATTAGTAACACTTGTGGTTGATTAAAAAATATAGACCTTTTGCAGCAATTAATTTTTTCAAATAATTTATTGGTTATCTTTGGTAACTTATCATAATCAGAATACTTTATTAATCCCCAGAGGAAATTATGTGGTCACAGTGGCTCCAAGACAGTAATAACAGTAACTAATTAAACGAAATTAAATAATACTATATATTACAAAGTTATAAAATATAACAAAATAGCTCTAATAAATACACATAGTTCTAATTATAAATATTACAGTATATCACACAAGATAAAAAATTTATAGTTGGCAGTGAGGTTCCCTTCTTATAATATTAAGTGTAATTTTCTCTGTAGAGGATGTTATAATAAGAGTGTGGAACTATTGCAGTTTGTACTGTACTTTTCATGGAGGAATTGTATAGAAAGAGTCACAGGCAGGAATGATTTCCTGTTTCATTCAGTGGTGCATTTGGGTAATTCCAGTCTCTCACTGAACGTGTTCCTGTGACTGGCCAGCACGTCATGCAGTGGGTGGGAGGCATTGTCCAGCATTGTTCTTATCTTGAACAACATCTACCTCTCTGACACCACCTTTAGAGAGTCCAGCTCCATGCGAAAAAAATTAATAAATTTAATAAAAGTTTTCATCCTTTTTATGGTTTTTTTTCTCTCTTTTTTTTTTCCACATGTAAGTCTGTACCAACAGAATGGGATCCTGTGAAATTAACAGTATGCAGCAGTTTTGTGTGTTTGTGTAATGTTCTCAGTGGAAAAATGTCTTTTTTCCAGAACAAGGAAACATATGAACCCCTTTGTAAAGTGCCTCTGATGACGTCATCCAAAGAGGAGCAGAGGCTGATTGCTACCTCAAATAAGGTATGCTATGTCTGTAATATAATGTGCAGCAACTCATTTAGAATCAAGACATTTTTCATTTAGATTTTTCTTTTTTTTTTAAAACTTGGTTGTCTTCACAGCCAACAGTCAAACTGCTGTATAACAGAAGCAACAACAAGTATTCATATACCAGGTGAGCCTGAACATGGGGTCAAGTTTGTCTAGATATAAAAAAAATAAAAAATCAAGTCGTTACATACACTCAAGTCAGTTATCATAATAAGTGACCTCTCTTTTAACTTTCTTTCCTCCACAGCAATTCTGATGACAACATGCTAAAGAATATTGAGCTTTTTGACAAACTGTCGTTGCGGTTCAATGGGCGAGTGCTCTTCATCAAAGACGTGATTGGGGATGAGATCTGTTGCTGGTCTTTTTATGGGCAGGGGCGTAAAATTGCTGAAGTGTGTTGCACTTCCATTGTTTATGCCACTGAAAAGAAGCAGACAAAGGTAAATATTCTTTGCAGAGTACTTTGCAGTTTCATAAGCATAGAGCTATGTTATTTTGGCTAAATAAACCTGTCTCTTGAGTAACACTTTACTTTTTTCCTAGGTTGAATTCCCAGAGGCTCGAATCTACGAGGAGACCCTCAACATCCTTTTGTATGAGTCTCATGATGGCAGAGGTCCAGACAATGCTCTGTTAGAGGCCACAGGGGGTCCTGCATGGCGATCTAACCACCTGGATGAGGATGAGGAGCGAGAACGAATTGAGCGCGTCCGTAGGATTCATATCAAACGACCTGATGACCGTACACACCACCACCAGTGATTCTCAACTTGAACCAGTCAATCTGGGATCCCAGACAGTATTTGCACTATGCTTGTGCCTTACAACACCCAGCGCCTCCTTCATTTACTTCCCTCATATTTTACCAGCATTCCCCAGAGGATTATTATGACACAAGTGTCATACAGCGGTGTGTAGTGGTGAAGTGATTGTGTGCAGTCCTCTTGTCCAGTTTTCCTCTTTGTCATCTTGTGTTTTGTTTTTTTTTTGTCTTTTTGTTGGTCATGATAACTTGTATCACTGCTTTCTGCTACTGTGTAGACGCTCATAAACATGGATGTTTTTATTCATCACTGAGTGCAGGAAGGAAGAGGTCCTAATTAAATTACATGCAGAAGACGAGTTATATCATGGAAGCAGCTAGTAATGTAGATAGTTTAGTTTTTCTTTGCCGTGGTTCCAAAAGGTACATTTTAAAGTCTCAAGTGGATGAACCGGGTGTTGTACTTAATGAAGTCACACGGTGGCACTGTTTTACTCTTAGATGATATTAACCATGGCTATAATGTAGCCTGTCTATAATTCCAAAACCTGAATATTTTCTTTTTATCATTAGACAATAAAAATTACAGGTGGATGAAGCAAAATTTCCTGTAATACTTCTGCCGCATTTAGTTCTAACATTGACGCAGTTCCCTTCACTAAACAAACCATTATTTTCAGTGGAGGGAACTTGAGCTGTGACCTGAGGTGTTAAATGCACTGGGCTGATTGAATGATGGATGCTGAGGTTGATGTGAATGACTGTAACTCGATATCACTCTAGCAGGAAGGGAACCCTGTCTACAAGCTTATAACAGGGATAGAAATTAGACCTGTCTTTCATCATCGCATTCATCACAGAATGTACCGTTTGCACACTAGTTTAAGTTGTTATATGTTTAACAATCACAGTACTTGTAGGTCTGCTGTACAGAAATAAACATAAATGTATGTTTTATATTTATACACACTTTATCACAAATAAATTTCTACAGACATTCTTTTGTGCTGCTTTTAATTTACAACATCAGTGAACGTACAAATTTATTATACATATGGCTTCATTATTCAAAATTAGAATTGCATCAGTTTTTGGTACCTTAAGAGTTTTGTCATTTTAAGTGTTCTTCGGACACAAACAATTGTGAAATGATAACATCTTCTTTCTTTTCTTAATAATGAAGTGAAGAAATTTTAATTATGACTAGTGTGAAATTCTGTCCAGCAAACAACCTCATCCAAGATTCCTCAGGTTCATCTCTTTCTGGGCAGATGTGTTTTCTGCAGACATGGTGATCATCTCCTTAGTGGTCTCCTGATGAAATATGCAGAGGCGTCTTATGTGTCTCCTCAGCCTCACACATTACCGTGTCCTTGCCCGAGTGGCAACCTGCAGTAGCAAACAATGATGCTGTGTCAGCATTTGTAACTTCATTGTAGCCCTTAATTGAAGACTTAAAATGGCACATCTGGTCGTTGAGTTTCCATGTCAAGTTTATGTATAGAGATACAATCGAAAGCAGCAAATACTAACTAAGGTGCTGTATAACTTGTAGGAAACACAAAAGTGGATGAAATAAGAAAAAGGACAGTATAAAACAGCGACAATATAAATGAGTCTAAACCTAAGCTTGATTAAAAGTCATGTTAGGGGATAAACATGGACTAAAATGGGACAATATAACACTTAAGGCGAGTCTGTTCCAAACCTTAGAAAATACATGGTACAAGCACCTTTTGTAAATATGGATTTAGGAACCATTAAGAGTTTTTTGACACATGAGCAAACTGATCTGGCTGTGACACAAAAGTGCAGGATTTTGGCAAGCTAGGACTGAGCATTTAAGGATTTTAAAACAAATAATAAATGTTCAAATATAATCTGAAAAAAAAAGGTAGCCAATCTGCAGAGAAACATGAGATAAAAGAGATAAGGCCCAACTCACCACCATCAGGTGACCATTCTTGGCCTTGTATACCATAGGCTCAGGCCCAGTGCTAAAGTCCACTGCTCCTCCTTTTCCAGCCTGGATTTCAAAGTTGATGCTGTGAATTAATGCAAACACAATGCATACACAAGCAGTTTAGCTCAATGTGCATTTCACATTAGATCTCTAAATTTCAAAACTCAGGCTCACCTGCCCTGAACCACCTTGATGGCATTTTGTTTGTTAGCAATGACACAGAGTTTGGTCAAAAGCTCAAATAAATGGTCGCACTGTACTACCAGATCCCCCTGAAACAGCCAGACAAGTTGTGTTAGAATCATCCACCTGAAAATCTTTCAAAATTTTCACTACATGCATGTTCCTCCTTCATTTTAGTTACTCTGCATTATCAGCAGAGCAAAAGCCATTCTATGTTTTAACTTGTTCCACCATATCTAATCATGTCATTTAAGCTACAAATACAAAATATATATAAACTTCATTGGTCTCACCATTAGCAAAAACAAAACAAAAAAAAGGCAAGCTTGATCCATACATTTGCATACCTTTTGTTTAGGTTCTTCACGTGTTATGTGGAATACAATGGTGCTGTCAGTCAAGTTACTGACAGAAATCTCTGCAGTGAGTCAAATAATAGAAGCATGTAGCCCCACATTTGAGAATGAAGATATCTGATGGCTAATAAAATATATATTAGCACACTGGTCTGACCTTTGAGAGAGGTGTACAGCACTCTCTGCTTGATCTTGGCTTCCTCTACCACATAGACAGCTGTCTGGGTGAGGATGAGCTGTCGCTGCCTCGGTTTGAAGCCATTCCTGTCATACTTAATTACTGGAACGCAGTACTGCAGAAACACAGCATATATCAGTGCATCTTTGGTGTGAACTGCCCATAGAAGTATACAGACATTTTATTACCTTTATACGCTCGTTGCGAATCATCTGGATGACCCTTGTGTTTATGTCTTCCTCGCCTATTAAGTGAGATGTTAAATGACATATGAATGATGGTTCTAAAATGAACAGGCATTGTGTGAGGGTGTCTGATATTTACTGATTCTGGTGTCCGCAAATGGATGGGCAACACTCTGTGGATAACTGTCCTTTTTCCCCTTGAAGACGGAGCTGGTGATCAGCTTCATTTCGAACTGAAGGGACAAAAAGGAATGGAAAATTTAACTGTGATGACTACAAAGAGAACAAGACTGCCCTTTAATGTGGCTTACCTGTGCTTTCTTCTGCGGTGTGATTCCTCGCACATATTTCCGCACCATAAGACGGTAGTGAAGCTTACGCAGCATCTCTGATGTCTAATGAAGAACGAAATCAGTTCTTCACCACAAGGTCAAGATAAAAGCTGTATTCAGTCAGTTTTGCATTTAAGTTGATTAGTCGTTATTACTATATATATTGCTATGTGGAAATAAAAAAGAGCATACACTCACTGGCCACTTTATTAAGTGCACCTTATACAACTCAATGCATTTAGTCATGCAGACACGGTGAAGACTATCTGCTGAAGTTCAAACTGAGCATGACAGTGAGGGAGGAAGATGATTTAAGTGTGTTTCAGTGTAACATGGCGTATGAGCATTTCAGAAACTGATGATCTACTGGGATTTTGTTAATAACATCCATAGGGTTTACAGAGAATGACCAGAAAAAGAGAAAATATCCAGTGGGTGGCAGTTCTCTGGGTGAAAATGTCTCATTGATACTAGAGGTCAGAGGAAAATGACCAGACTGCTTCGAGCGGATAGGAAGGCAACAGTAACCCAAATAACCACTTGTTACAATCAAGATATGCACAACATATCAAATCTTAAAGCAGTTGGGTTAAAGCAGCAGAAGTCCGCAGTGGGTGCCACCCAGTCAGCTAAGAACAGAAAGCTGAGGTGGCAGTATTCATCGGTGTTAAACATTAGACAATAAAAACTGACAAAAAGCTGCATGTTCTGATTAACCTAAATTTCTGACGCTACTTTCACATAAAGAAATTTGCATAAACAACATGAAAGCGTGGATCCATTTTGCCTCGTATCAACAGTTCGGGCTGGTGGTGGCGTCATGGTGTGGGCAACTTTGGGTCCGTCAGACAGAGCTAATCATCTTATTGTTGTTGCTGATCATGCCCATCCCTTTATGACCAACATGTACCAATCTCCTGAAAGATCATCTCAGACTGGACCAAAATCTCAGAGAAATTTTTGAATCTGTGCCATGATGAAGGCAGTTTCAAAGGCAACAGGGCAAGCAAGATGTATCTAATAAAGTGGCCACTGAGTGTATTCTCACATGGAAATAAATACAGAAAATTATAGGAACATAAAAGACACACATATCTCATTCTATAAAATACTTGTGACATTTTTTGTTATGTAACTCAATGTTTACTTGATTCAAATACAGTGTGAAAAATTAAAAAGGACCACAGTTATGAATGCATTAGTATTAGAAACAGTTGCTTGATTTTGTTTCTCTGTTTCATTGTTATATGACTTATAGCACCTCTGTGAGCACAGCTGGTGGAGTTAGCCAGGGGGTTTTATCCAAAACGGTCTTTGGCAGGTTGTCTCTAAGTCTGTTCAGGTAATTTTGCCTCACGAAGGCCAGGTACTCTGAGTTATCTGTGTTTTTTGCCTGCCCTCTGGTCATGTAGCCTTTGATAAATCTGAAATGTGTGGCAAAGAACAGGATCAGTTCAAATGTAACAGAGACACTGATGGGGGCTTTTTTTATTTTTGATATTTACGTGTTTTACTTACTTCTTGATGACTTTTACCGCCCAGGCTCTCTTCTCCTTCTCCTTCCTAGCCTGTGTTCCTCTCCAACAAGATTCAATCTTAGTGGCTGAGGAGATTAAAAATAGACATTATCTAATATTTTTTATTGCTAACAAAAACTGTTTCTATCATTCTGGATGTTGTGACATTTACCAGCTTCTTTCTGTTTCCTGTATTCTCCCTTTGCCCTGTAGCCTTTGTATTTTGCCTGGATGCGTGTTGCTGCAAATCCAGAGCAAAAAATATAAATCAGCTTGATTGTGAGACGGGATGACTGAAGGTCTAAGGCAGTTGACACTCACCCAGTTCATGTTTGCATTTCTCATAAGCATCCTCTGTGGCGAACAGTGTCCTGGGGTGACGGATGAAAATTTTGGTCCTGCAATAAACAAATCAGCAACTTGTACTTTTGTGATTCCTCGCATAAGCTGGATTTGTTGAGGTAACGAGAAAGACTTCCTCACCGTCCCATTTTGTACTCATCTGGCAGGTAGCCCAGATGTTGAACCAGCACTTCCACTCCATCGGCGGCTACTCCTCTCCAGTGTGGCCAGGTGGCTGGGCACAATGGTTTATATCTGTAAGATGAGCCAAACAAACTGTGCTCGAAAGAAGCCGCTCAGTTCACCTAGAGCTTACATTTAAAACATAAATTTCCCTGAAATTGAGAAACTCTACGGTCCTTTATACCTCTTCAAAAAAACGTCGTATTTACGTCTGTAAGCAAAACCAGCTCGTCTGACTCTGAGGTGCTCCATCAGACCCAGGTACTTCACCTGATGCCTGATCAGTGCTTCATCAAACTGACCTGTGATGTAACGATAAATACACGATTGATTTGGTCTTATTCAAACATTTCTGTGTCATTAACATCTACCTTTTGTTAGTTAAGGTACCTGACTGCTTGGACTCGTTAGATTTCAGGCAGCGTATGTACCAGGCCTCTTTAGCCACGAGGATCTCTGTCAGCTTCTGCAGACTGCTCTTAAACTGAGTCACCACCTGCAAACACAACACAAGGGTCACAATGTCCTTTCCGCCTGACTCCCCTCAGCAGTTAGGTTAGATGTTATGGATGAAGGATATGGAGGGTCAAACATGGGCGAACGTACTGTTTCTGGTCTTCTCCTGCTGTCTGGATCCATGGATGAGAAGCACTCTTTGACTATGTCATTTTTAGACTGACACATAAGCTTTGAGAAGGTGGAGCGACACACAAGCACACATTAACACACAGGTTTAGGCAGTTACTTTAACCATAATTAATCAAATACTGAGAAAATACCCCCATCTTTTGCTATTTACAGTAAAGTCTAAAACACGTCTTTATCTGACATAATATCAGCTGTAGACTTACATCTTTTATGTTTCTATATAGTAGGTCGTTGTTTTTGTCCAGGAAACCTAGATTAACATAAAAAAAAATATCAGTGTCTTAGGGATGTCAGTTCAAAGCAAAAAGGTTTAAATGGTTGAGTCACAGGGGATGAGACTGTGGTTTTCTTTACCCACAACACAGTAGGTGACCTCCCCGGCATAATGCAAGAGACGGAAATCTCCCCTCTCCAGAGTCTTACGTGTCATTTTGTCAGCTAGTTTGTGCCTGGAGTCAAAGAGGTGGAGAGAGACAGAGGGATGAAGAGTGAGAGGCTTTATAGTCGAATCCTAATCCTCCGTCTCTATCGGCTCACTGTCGACTCCCTCACAGGCCACCAGTCAACAGAACACCAATGAAAGGAGTCAGACTTTAGAGCCGAGGAAAGGCTTTGAATTGTACAGTAGATAGACAGTGTATTTAATTACGCTAAATGTTGTTATTTTTGAAGTCACAAATCAACATTATCAAAACAAAAAACAACCTTTATTGTGACTTTGGAATAACCAGCACTCCAGTTCATAGATATAAGTGGGATGCATGGGGCTGATTCAGTGCGTAAGACTGTTCGTTTCTCTTAGAGTCAGTCAGGATCAGAGCAGGAGCATTCAAGATCTCTTGGAGTCAGAGAAATAAGCACTGGTGCTGCATACAGTGTCAATGTCAATTCTATTTATGTTGTTCATTTCGTGTACTGTGTGTGTGTGTGTGTGTGTGTGTGTGTGTGTGTGTGTGTGTGTGTGTGTGTGTGTGTGTGT